TGTCCGTTTTCTTTCTTTTTTACCAACCTCGAATCTCAGTCGCTCGGGAGAGGCGGGTGGGGCGACAGAGATCAAAGGGGGCGGGAGGACAGTGGCGTGGACGAGCGCGCGGGTGCGCAAACAAGCGGACGCGCGATCTGAAACGTCGTCCTTGGCCACGTGCCCCGCTGGCAAACCACAAGAGAGGGTGGATAGAGATAGGCGCCTCAGGCGACCGCTCGTCCTGCCCCTCCCCTCAGCAGAGCGGGCGAGAATGCTAAAGCATTCACGCCACAGAAAGAATTCATGCCGAGAGGAGAGCGACCCCTAGGGTGGGCGAAGGCTAGCGCATCACACCCCTCTCCTTAAAATCCCTGTGTGGTGGCGGCGTGCCGTCCTCCCATCCCTCCCTTGGGTTGTCTGTTTTCTTTCTTTTCTTTCTTTGCGACGGAAGAAGAAGCGACAAGGGAAAGAACGACGACAGTGGGACGACCGCGAGGTGGCATGAAGGTTGCAGCGAGAATCGGCGAGAGACTGAGAAGAGAGATAGGAAGAGGCGGACGCCCGAGGGTGGGCGACGGCTAGCGCACCACACCCCTCTCCTTAAAATCCCTGTGTGGTGGCGGCGTGCCGTCCTCCCATCCCTCCCTTGGTTTGTCTGTTTTCTTTCTTTCTCTTTTACCCGGCACAGGACTGGCGCGCACTGGCACTACAGTCGGAATTCTCACTTTGGGACACGGGATACCCATCACTGAGCCGACGATGCTATGGGTAGCCCCAGGGTGGCGCCCACCCCCATACCCTCAGGCACTTGCCTGCGCCCTGGCCGCGCAACGCGCGCACGCCGCGCGCACGCGCGCGTCACGCCCGCGCGCACGCCGCACTACGCGGCACTGCCCAGGTTCCCTCACGCTCAGATTTCCTCACGCTCAGATTCCCTCACGCTCAGATTCCGTGCAAGGGGGTGCCGAGGTATGCCGCAGGCCGGGATGGAGTGAGATCTTGTGGGGCAGGGCGTGGGCTAGCGCGCGAGGGCGCAGGCAAGTGCCCGAGGGTATGGGGGTGGGCGCCACCCTGGGGCTACCCGGAGCATCGTCGGCTCAGTGATGGGTATCCACGGGTGGTGGGGGTCCCAGGTGGTGGTTGGGTGAGTCACACATGTTGCGCCAGACAGACATAAGCTCGGTCTGAGGTTCCGCCTGAGGTGATGCACGACGTTAGCGGCGCGCCGGGCAAGCGTCTCGGTCTCAGCACCCATGTCATGTGGCAAACCATTTCCCTGCGCCACCAAAGAGCGCTTCGCCCCCGCGCGGCGGACGGGCGGCACACGTGTGGGCGTGCAGCACAGGAGACGCGCGGCGAGAGCGTGAGCAGCAGCGACTGCGGGCAGAGAGCTGGCAGAACGCGAGCGAGACGTGGGATGTTTGGGGCCGTGTCGTGTCGAGTCGACCTACGTGCCCGCTCGGCGAGCCTCGACGCGGCGCAGGAAGCCGTGACGGCTGGTGCTGCACACCGCCATCGCAGCGTGTTGAAAAGGCGCTCTTGTCGCCACCGCGGTGGTGGTCGAGCGCGTTGCGCACACGATAAAACGTGCGTGCGTGATGGTGGTGAGCTCGGTCGAAGGTGGTGGGCCGAAAACGCGAGTAGGTACGGCCGCACGGGGCCACGGCGAGCTCCGCGCTCGCACAAATCGCACAAATCGCACAAATCGCACAAATCGCACAAATCGCGCGGTCAACAGCCAAGCTCCCAACTACCACCTGGGACCCCCACCACCCGTGTCCCAAAGTGAGAATTCCGACTGTAACACAGGTACACCACAAAACAAAGAATTCTTAAAATACAGCCTCTCTCACAAAACAAAGAATAACAAGCGAAGGTGGCCTCTTCACGGGCCTCGGTTGGCGAACTGTAGTCTCCACAAATGCGCGTGTCTCCGTATAGAGGGACGCCACAAACGACGCAGTGCGGCCATAACCGGCGGCATTCGACGCACCTCACTGCTCTGTGAGCGCGGCCTCTGTTGCAGGTGGTAGTCGGCATAGCCATCACTGCATGCACAAACAACAGCGCGGGTAATGGGACGCCGCTGTCGCGTTGGTCGATGAGTGATGGCACAGCGGTCGGCGTCGGGCCGAAGCCCGTCAGGCACCACTCTCACTCTCTCCCTAGGAGAGTTCTGACTTCTGTCTGACTTTTTGCTAAGGGGGGGGGGGGGAGGCATGAGCTGAGATGTACACCCCTGAGCGACGTACGTGGCCACGTGCGCTTGATCCATTTGGTTTCGGAACACGTGAGTTTTTCGGGGAGGGTACCCATTCGTTGCTGGTAGCGAGTCGACGCTGCTTGACCTGCCAGCGTCGACTCGCCCTGTTCGCAGATCTCCTCTGCTGGCGCCATGTGCCTGTCGCCGGCGCTGCAGAGCGGCGAGGACATCGTCAGCCACCAGCTCGAGCTGCAGTCGATCTTGCACGGTGTGCACCAGCGCTACGCCGGCCGCCAAGGGCGGTACAACAAGCACGACACGGCGCGGCTCCGCTACATCAAAAACACCGCCTTCCCGGGCCTGCGCTTCGGCAAGATGGTGCCGGAGCGAGACATGGCGATGCTCAGCCCTCTCCCACCGTCGCGGATCGCCCGTCACCTCGCCTCTCCGCAGGGTCATCTCTCGCGCCGTCTGCATCTCTCTGCCGGTCGCCAGCACCCGCCACCGACTGGCTGCACCGCCACTCGCGACGCGCCACCCTCGCTCACCAGCCTGCATACGCGCTACTCCCGCCGTGCCTTTGCTGCCACATGGATCGCATGTCACTGCAAACGCGCCCGCAGCCGCGCCGTAAAGGTCTGCCTTGCTGGCTGACGATCTCACTCTCCCGCTCCTATTGCATCTGCCTCCCGCCTCCCAGCTCACATTTGACACTGCAGTAGGTGCTCCTGTCGACGCTGCCGCCGCTGCCACCGCTACTGTCACCGCTCGTTTGATAATCGACGCCACGCTTAGCGGCAGCGAGATCCGAGGTTGAGTCAACTTGCCTGGTGCGCTCTTGCGCGTGCCTTCAAGATCCACAAGTCAATTTGTACCAGAAATCCAAAGGTGGTGCAAAATGGATATCTCAAGATTGGCCTTTATTTCGCGCACCTGCTCTCCGCCGCCGCCGCTTACCTGCTGGCACGCCACCGCCCCGCGTCGCTAACTCAAGCCTCCCTGCTGCATCTTGCCGGCGCCTAGTGGGTTCCATGA